ACGACAGAAGAAAATTAAAACAATGCCTACCCTAATAAACATTGTATGGTTAATTTGCTTAACGACGTGTTCTGAGTATCATCCAAACCATTTGTTGAATAATTTGATGATTTGGGTTATCGTTCGTTTATGGTTATTTTTTATTAGGGTATGCATTCCAAAGCTGGCAAAATTAAACGGAAGCTACTCACCAACACACTCACATAAACAAGCACTGCTTCAAAACGAGCACATATGAGTGTTTTGATTGTCGGGAATGACCAGATCGGTGATGGTTCACCACCGAAGACGACATTCATCAGTTGCTTTTTACTTCTTTCGTCAACTTGATGGATGGTCATGGAGAGTGCTTCGACAAGCATATTGATAGAAATGTACCAAGCTTTACTAGTCACCGACAAACCGACATGACACTTAATTCTGACTTATGTCCGAAAATCGTAAATGGCTGATTTAAATGTGCAGTGATTCGAACTGTCAAAACTATAGGATTTTTTTATCTAGATAAAAATAATTTGTCCAGAATAGATCAGACACGAACCAATTCATTACTTTTGCATGCGGGTTCATGGCTTAGTTAAATCAATTTGTCGGTGGTGTAGTGGTAAGCGTGACTACTTTCTCACCCCAATGGGTCTGGGTTCAATCCCAGCCGAGGTCGGTGGGATTTTTCTGAGGCACAAAAATCTCTGGTCACGTCTTCCTTCGGAAGGGAAGTAAAGCCGTTGGTCCCGGCCCATGTGTTTGAATGGGTGCGATATCCTACGCAGGTGTGGAAGCTGCCTTCCTGCACATTCGATTGCCGTCCTTGGATGGCAATCGATGCCCGTCAGTGATTGGCACCATGGTGGGTATATAAATGGTGATACAGCTTTGTCACTATATAGGCGAGGAGGTCGCGGGGGGGGGGGGGGGAAATGCGGTTTTAGAGCAAATTGTAAACAAACTCGGTCGCTGTCCCATACAAAAATCCAACATGGCTGAATCACGAATTTGACACATTAGAACACCTATATGTAGCCACCTTGATTGGCACTAGATTGCGGAACAGAGACCGACGTTAAATAAAGGAAAGAAGAAGAAGAAGTATTTCTACTGGTAATGGGCTAGACGGTGGCCACACAATAACTGGCGTTGAGCCGCGACGATGGCCGGATGGTCCTGACGGCGGCTACGGCAATGTCCACCATAGTGGCGGCCAGCATGACGGTACCATATTAAACATCCCACCGATTTTTCACCCGACTAAATCGGGTTTCGTCGGTGTGATCAACCGTTTTTGATTCCTACGAATCGATTGATTAGTTGGTATGTAAAAATGAACTACAAATTAAACCCGACGAAACCGGCTGATTCTGGATTATGAAATCAATTGATTAGTTGGTGTTTCAAAATAAACAACCTCCCAAATGAAATTTGTATAGTTATTTTGCCAAAGGTTGAAAGCCTCTTTAATAAAGAAAACTAACTAACTAACTCAAATTAACGGGCGTATATGGAGCCTATTATCATTAAGGGTTAAACCATAGAGGTAACTCGTTAAACGGAGTCCTTAAGCACTGAATTTTGAGCCAACGATGCGCTGATTCACAATTTATCTTCTTGCAAGAAAAAAAGGAGTTCTCATTGACCCCCAGACAGTAGTTCCTAGATAATGTTATTGGCGAAGCCGGCATTCCACAGGCGGATTAAAATCACTCAGTTGTCAGGTATGAGTTACTAGATTTTCCCCCCCGAGTATACAGGCTTTTTTGAAGCGGCGCCGGTGGTGTAGTCGTAAGCAGGCATGGAAAATCATTTGCATTCATTTCGTGCATTCATTTACATTCATTTGCCTCTAACTTTTTTCATCAACAGCATTCCGCAAAATGATGTATAGAGCTTTTGTAGGTTTTGTTATTAACTAAAACTTTTGTTAACAAATCAAATCTGTGTCTCTGATGCATGACGATCCAGAGCGAACAGAAGCCACTACTGTTTTTCCGTGAATGTATTTTACATTCACTGAAAAACAGTAACAAGTTCTGCTTGCTCTAGTTCGTGATGCATAAGAGATACAGATTTGAGTTATGACCAAAAGTTGTAGCTGATAACAAAACCTACAAAAGCTCTATAGGGTTTTTGATCTAATTTCCGTCCTACTAAGGACATCCCGCACTTTACCACGCTTTTTGGAAAGGGTTTGAACAAAACATTGAATGTTCTCATCAAAGATAACTTCTAAATTTATCCACCTTTCCTTACGTACCGTTGGATTTGATAAAGAGTCAAACAATGTTGAGATATTATTAAAAATATAACACTGCTTCTTGCTTCTAAATTCATCCTACGCGTTTCAATTCCGTCCAAACGCATTGAAACGCCATTAGATTTTCTTCGTCCTACGGATAAACGGAGAAAAAGGGGATGCGCTAGGAGCGCTTCTTTTGTTTTGAGAACAATGAGCGTAAATATGCATACAATGCGCTCTAATAGGATTTATGTCGTAGCTAATGAACTAATGCATCGGAACAAACGTATTATTGCTTTGTGCATGGTGAAATCATTGATATTATTGATGATTTCTGCTCGATAGAACGGAAATGGGCGATTACGACGAAGTAGCGCTCTTCCCTACATCATTTTGTGGAATGCTGTTGATGAAAAAGTTAGAGGCAAATGAATGTAAATGAATGTATGAAATGAATGCAAATGATTTTCCATGCCTGGTGGTAAGCGTGATTACCTCTCACCCCAGCAGGCCTGGATTCAATCCCAGTCGGCGCCGCCGGGATCGAAAGGGAAGTAAAGCCGTTGGTCCCCGGTTCATGAGTTGATGGGTTGATAGGTAGGGTCCAGGTGTGGGAGCTGCCTCCCTGGCGTCGGTAGCATTGGTGCTCAGCACGGAAAACAAGATCGACGGAAAACAAATCAAAGGAAAAAAAAGTATGCAGGCTTTTTTAATTCCAAGTTGGAATTGACAATTTCGGTGCTTTATTATTTAAAAATTTCATGTACTTCAAATTTATATTTTGTTATGTGTAATACTAACGAAAAACAGCAATATTTCAGTGGATTCTCTCGTCTCTATGAATTTGGGAAATAATGGTATTTTGTTACAGTCGTTACTCTCTTTAGGTCGAATATTTTTTTTATTCAGTATCGAGATTTTCAGCCGCAGGCTGATTCATCAGGTCGAATATTGATTTTGTGAGTTCTACAGTTAGTAAATGTATAAAATACATAGACACATTACATAATTAACATTTCCGTTGTTTTTTTACTCAGATTTAAGATTCTAATTTACGTCAAACGTACAATTATTCACCCATATTCTCGTTTACGTTCGAACCGTACTTTCCATACAAAAAATCTTTACATTCGAACTTAAACGAGAATATTATAATAGGTGATTGACAAAATACAAAGTGAGATAATCGATTATTTTGAACGATTGTTCTTTACGATTGCAAAGCTAACATAAGCGAATTGCTGGCATTATTTCTAGCATATATCACAGGATAATGCCTTTTGGGTGGTTCATGTTTTCCGAAAGTAATTCATCCACAAAACGACAAATTTCTGATAATAGCATTTATTGTAGTTTATTTTAATTCCATTAAAAGCCGAGAATCAGAAGTTAGCACCCTTTTGGAGTTACATTTCATTGGAAAACTCAGACGGTCACCTTTATATCGCTTGTGAATTCAGCATTGGAATCGAAAACATGAACTTTCATTCTATCCTTACGAAAGAATCGACCATACACACTTAGGGTAACATGAATCTTGAAAATTAATGTATTGTTGGCTCATTCGAAAGCTTGCACCATGAGAGTGTAAAGAAACAGCTGAACTCCGGCTAATGGATCGATTTTTCTATATTCGGATTTTTTTGTTTTTGGAACACAAGCACTACACTAATGAAGAATAATTCTTTTACGGCTACATGTTGTTTGTAAAGCTCGTCATGTCTTATAGTATCACAAAGAAAAGCTTGCTGTTTGCTGTTTGAGAAGTCATAGATCACTGATTATTTAATCAAACATTATTTTAATTCCCGGCACCCGGAGGCAAAAATCTCCCATCCACCATAAAATAAACAAGAAAAGTTGATGAGGGTAAAGGACGGCTTTAGCAACACCTTGATCTATTATCATTAGTTTTTGAGAGAGGATAGTAGGTAGTCCCAACTTGATGAACAACTATATGAAAGTTTGGCACGAGAAACATCCGGTTGTCGGTGGGATTTGAACCCACAGTATTCCATTCGGTACACGGGCGCATTATCAATTATACAACCGGTACTTATTGTCAGAAGCGTAATAACCTGTTTATACTAGTCATCATACTGATTAACCAAAATTGATGGAACCCGACCATGTTTGTTGTTTGTGCCTGAAATTGATGCGCTAAGATTAATCACCTGCTAAAAACTGTTTTGTGAACGACAGGTTCACCTCAGTAGCACAAGTGTAAAGCGAGCGCTCAATTTGTGTCAAACGATGCTCTGAAACATGATGTATCATCATGCAAAAAATGAGTGTTCAAGGACGTCATTTACCCCCTGACGATAATAGGTAAAGGTATTGCGGAAGCCATTATTTGCCCTAATCGTTTCGCAAGGTTTTGTATGGCTTTTCTTCATTTTATATGCTAAATGGGTATTTGAGTCACTTTTACAGTGAACAACTATTTCGCATGGTTGCTAGTTTAAATAAAGTCGCGCAGAGTTTCACCAGTGCGTGTTCGGAGTCAAAAAGTGTGATTTTATAAGGAGTTGACCATAAATTACGTAGACAACTCAGGAAAGGGGCGTTGTTGATGAGTGTCTACATCTATAAAATTACGTACTACGTAATTAATGGACAGCTCCTAACCTAATTTGCAACAACCTACTTTCGAATGAGCACAAATTATATTCACAATCGATCGTACAACAATGCGTTAGGATCGGAGAAAATCTCAAACTTACCGAATTCATTTTTTTTTTTGTCAGATAAAAAATTGTATGATCTAAAGAAAAAAAAGTGTTAAGTTCCGCATCCAAATGCTTATCTAGAAGCTCTCAAAATGAACAAGAAAATGTTAACGATGTCCAGGTAGAGATTGAGAGCGGCAAAAATGTACTCTTCTGGGCTAATCGAGTACTTGTGGCTTCCTCCGATCATCATCTGCGTATCGTAGATCAGGTAAAGCGAGAACAAAAGTGCCCCACAGACGGCATAAACTGAGTTCGCGGCACTTCCGGGGAAGAATGCCACGATAATACCGAACACAAACACCACCAACAATGCTACGAACAGGAAGCCACCCATCAAGGTAAAATCCCATTTGGTTTGGAACGAAAACAGCGTCAGTCCAATGCAGATTACGCACGTGATGCCAACTGCCATGAGCACCTGCAACAACAGTCAATTAGTATCCCATGTCACGTGTTTGGTCAACTCAACCCCCACAATGCAATTTACCTGATTGGAACTGTACTGGGTGGAAATGATTCCCAGCATGAGCCCTTGGGCAGCTGTGAACATGGCTAAAAATATGAAATTATGTGGCGTCTTGCGTCTCATCTCGCCGCAACAGGCCATAATTATGAGCACAGCGAACATCGTTACGAATGCCGCGATCCCAATCCACGGATTTTGCTCGACGAACGCTTGTGCCGGTGCATGGTACATGAACAAGGAAATAAATGCCATTGTTATGGCCAATTGTACCTGAAAGAAGGTGAGGGTTTTAATTTGATTGCAAAGAACGATCAAAGATAGTTAAACACTAACCGTAAGAATTAGGTACACCTTACGGATGAAGGCTTTTCGTATGGATTCTTCCGAGAATGACAATCCACGTATCTCCACCTGGCTTTCCGGGTCCAGGTGGACCGTTTTCGGTACATGACTTCCATCACTCATTGTCTGGTAGGGTACTTCTGCCATCTCTTCTGACTCGATCGACCGCTGTTTAACTTTGTCACTTCAAATCCGTTTTACATATATACTAGTTTATCAATAAGAAAGAAGAACACCATGAAGAATTGCGCAACAAAGCTGGTGACGTGTTCATGGGTAGTTCATTAGCTAATAAGACTGGAGTGAATCACATTTTTCATAAATAAACGAGTTTATCAGAACTTTTACTCACATTTTTTAAGTTAACCCTTTCCTTCCCGGATTTGACTACTGAGTACTTAGTGGTAGATTGACAATTTATCAATGACAAAGATTAGCTGTTATGGCTAATCCAGTCTACTCTTATTTCTTTTTCTTTTTCTAACGACGGTACAGTGAAATGCAAAAAATAAAAAACTTAGAATGCATTCGCGGTCAAATTGACATTATTTTCTACTGTTCGCACTGATGATACCAAAATCTTCGACTTGCAAAGTCTTACTATTTCGATCCGTATGCATACAGCACCTTTTCGTTTATTAAGAATATCTCTAATGTAAACAATATCTATCCAGGCATACCTATATATTCAAAAAGCAAAATAACATTTTATCTCTTTCTTGCTCAAAGAAACGCAACACATGGATTTGTAACTGGAAACAGAGTGTCTCTTTTTCGCTCACAAAAAATTATCATCAATTTCATGAAAATTTCAACAATGATGTAAATGTTGCTACGTAGGTATTGCATTATTTTATTGTAGGTATAGGTATACGATCGATCACTTATTGAATTTAATATTATGTTCGATCCGATTTATTATCATCAGATAGGAAATAAGCTGTAGTAAGTAATGGTGGTAAGTTCCAATCGATATTATCATCGAATTAAATCCCGCTCAAGAATGTCCAGCAGCTTTGATGTCGACATCAGAGTTAATAAAAACGACTCTAAGCAAACATGGTGTTGATCATCTAAACAGAGACGGTATTAAAAATTAATCCGAACTGGAGCTAACAGCCAGAAGAGATTATCCGACAAAAAAAAATGTGACGCATCCGAACTTTCGCCAGCTGCCGAAACTATGCATTTTTAGGAAGACTATTATTTAATACTTACAAATTAAGCACTTTCGCGTCGTTATCGTTGTTGAACGTGCAATATTTGTTATCGACTAAAATAAAAATTAATATTTTTGTTGCGTCAGCTGCAAGTAAAATGGACGATCAGATTTTTAACTATTATTGTGACATTTGGGTGAGTCAGACAAATCTCGCGTCACTTTTCAAAAGGTCATAAATAACAAATGTAAACAAATCGAGTTAAGCGATACAAACTATCACGGAGAACAAATTCGTTAAGTTAAGATAACAATCCTAATAGTTACTTTCACATGGAAAAATATTGTTGTTTGAAAGAAACCTATAGTTATTCCAACATTAATTTGACCATCAACTCAATCATATCTACCTAATACACAGCAAAAAAAAATGTAATATCGATCAATGTAATTCAAGCTGATGTATGAAATAATGATGTAATAGCAAAAAGCAGATACAATATTACACCAATGGATGTAATTTTGTTCGCAAAATCGATGTACATCGTTCAACGTTATATTACACAGCCGATGGATTGACCTGGTTGCAGCAGTTTGGATGTAATATTCAACAACTTTTTTTTCTGTGTAGATTCAACTGTTCATCTTGTACTCAATAATTCAACGATTCAACTACACAAAAAAAAGTTGTTGAATATTACATCCAAACTGCTGCAACCAGGTCAATCCATCGGTTGTGTAATATAACGTTGTACGATGTACATCGATTTTGCGAACAAAATTACATCCATTGATGTAATATTGTATCTGCTTTTTGCTATTTCATCATTATTTCATACATCAGCTTGAATTACATTGATCGATATTACATTTTTTTTTTGCTGTGTATAATTTTGATCATCTACAACAACCGTCAAATGTAATTTAGTTATATAATTTGGTTTCAAGTGATCATCATAAATCCACATACTTTTAACTTGTGATGCGTAGAGCAGGCAATAAGACAGCTGGCTCTCACGCAAATGAACAAGGGTCAAATCTTAGTTGAATGTTCTTGTTCACCTTTTTTATGATTTTGCAGTTGTGTTTTTGAAATCGATAAAGAAGCAAAGCAAACTTCCTTAATATGTCGATAATGAAGAGCAGTTCGTTTAATAAACATTGTACAATTTTGCTTACCTAACAAAAGTTTTCTTGAATCAACTAAAGCATAGTTGTATTTTGAAGAAGTTGAAGAATAGTTATTTTGACCGGAAAAATAATTTCGTCTGCTATAATTTGTTCTCCGTGATTGCTCTTCTATACATTGTATGTGATACAAAAACATCCATCCTAATTTACTTTCATTTATTTAAGATAATAATTGATCAAGAATTGTCTAATTTTCAGTTTGAAATGATGGGTACATGATTGTTACTTCGGTCATTCGGACAGCCTAACATGATTGGTGCTCATTTTCCAAAGGCTGGGCCAATCTAAAGTTAGGTACTCTACTCTGAAATCTGTGAAAGGGAATCTAGTATCATGTAGACAAAACGTCCGATGTAACACTCATTGATTATGTCATTGAGAAAAATCGTCCAATGTAACATGTCCGATGTACAACTTGACTTGTCAAAACGTCCTATGTGGTTTTTTCTATGTTGTAGCATGAAATTCAAAGTAATATTGTGATTTTACCGTTTCTTCTGAATTTTCAACGTTATTATACACTGACTACATTAAAAATAGTATTGCAAAATGTATTGTTTTTAAACAGTTAAAATAATAATCTGTCGAAGTTCAACTTCGATTTTCTCAAAATGGTGGATATGTTACATTGGTCTATTTGAAAAGTGACGCGAGAATTTACACCCGTTCAGCAATCGGGTTGTAGGACGTGAGGATGGCTATTTTGATTCTGTGGCACTCGCGCGAGTAAATGAATTTTCCCATGTCCTATGTGGTTTTTTCTATGTTGTAGCATGAAATCATGAAATTCAAAGAAAAAATATGATTTTATCGTTTCTACTGAATTTTCAACGTTATTATTCACTGACTACATTAAAAATGGCATTGCGAAATGTATTGTTTTTAAACAGTTAAATTAATAATATGTCGAACTTCAACTTCGATTTTCTCAAAATGGTGGATGTTACATTGGTCTATTTGAAAGGTGACGCGAGAAATCAAGCTGGGACATTGCATTACACGGTAACCGCAAAATACCCAATATGACTACAAAATAAGCATTTTCGAGGGTAACTGGGACACCCAATAAATGAGTAAAATTTTACCCATTTTGAGTAATTACAACCACAAAAATAAGTAGTTAGCATTCATTTGTGAGTGACAAATACTCATAAATGGGTAATCTTTTTACTCATTTAATGGGTAGTCCCAGTCTCCCTGGAAAATGCTTACTTTGTACACAGTGTGTCATTACTGAGTTCCTGCACAGTTAGAAAAAAGTACTCAAAATTTAGTTCCAACCTTGATAATTTCATAATATGATGTGTTTATTATCTTTAGCATATAAAACTTAAACTTGTTTTAAATTATCAACAGTTGTGTAATTATTACAATATTCCATCTCAATTTTCCACGTGTCATCCGGGTCATGCGAACGGTAAACGATAACGTTCCCTCCTTGTATTATAGTCGAGTGCGAGAGTGGTGGTTACCGAATGAAAGTGTGTAGTGAAATCCGTAGATGCAGTACTCTGGGAGATTTTCCTTGCCGTTGGAAACGCTAGCCATAGTGAATATATTATACAAAAAACTGCAATATTCGCATGAAAACTAACAAAACTACGTAAAACAAAAAATAAGCCACAATATAAACGTGGCTGCAGTTTCGCCCTCGCTGATTGCGAACAAACCGAGGGGCGAAATTAACTTCACTATGGTATACTACAAAAAATCAGTTAAGCCTGGTTAAAAAAATGGAACTACGCATAAAATGATTAAAATTTTACCCATTAATGAGAATTACTACACAGAAAAAAAAAGTTGTTGAATATAACATCCAAACAGCTGCACGGAGGTCATTCCGCCGGTTGTGTAATATTACGTTGTACGATGTACATCGATTTTGCGAATAAATTACGTCCATTGATGTAATATTGTACCTGCTTTTTGCTATTTCTTCATTATTTCATACATCAGCTTGAATTTCGTTGATCGATATTACATTTTTTTTGCTGTGTACACTGCAAAAAAAAAAATGTAATATCGATCAACGTAATTCAAGCTGATGTATGAAATAATTATGTAATAGCAAAAAGCAGATACAATATTACATCAATAGATGTAATTTTGTTTGCAAAATCGATGTGCATTGTGCAACGTTATATTACACAACCGGCGGAATGACCTCTGTACAGCTGTTTGGATGTAATATTCAACCAATTTTTTTTTCTGTGTAGTACAAAACTTAATAAAAGTAACTTTATTAAGAAAACAGAAATTTTTTTCTTAATAAAGTTTCTTTTATTAAGTTTTGTACAAGTAATTCTCAAAAATGATTAAAATTTTAATAATTTTATGCGTGGTTCCGTTTTTATTAAAAAAAAATTCTTTCTTCTTCATTCCTTTATTTAACGTCGATCTCTGTTCCGCAATCTAGTTCCAATCACCAACGCACATCGATTGCCATCCATTGACGGGATGGCAGGAAGGCAGCTTCCACACCTGCAGGATATCGCACCCTAGATTGCACCCATTCAACACACATGGGCCGGGACCAACGACTTTGCTTCCCTTCCGAAGGAAGAGGTGCCCAGAGATTTTTATGCCTCAGAAAAATCCCACCGACCTCGGCTGGGATTGAACCCAGAACCATTGGGGTGTGAAAGCAGTCATGCTTACCACTACACGACCGGCGCTGGCTGTACTTTATACCCTAATAAAATAACCATAAAAGAGAGCTTAACGACGTGTTCGGGGTATCATCCAAACCATTTGTGGGATAGTTTACCTATCCGGGATACAGTTTGTTTATGGTATTTGTTTATTAGGGTAGTCATTAAAGAGTTGTTTGCGTTTTTTTTATATAATGCGTATATCCCGGCTCATTTGCCGTAGCTTTGCGGAGATCACAAAATTACTTAAAATTAATGTTAGTAAAGCAGGGGCCAATTACTCGCGGTTATCTCGAGGTTAGGGGTAAAAAATTGTAACAAAATGGATGGCAGGTTTGAAATCCAAAACCACAAAAGTGATGATGTACTAATAAATATTCCATACGATTTGACAGGTAGGCCGAGGTGGACAGGTTCAACCGTGGATCTACGTCGGCTGAAAAGAATAACCCGGAACGGACACGAAATACTTTCGAAAAAGAAAAACACGCGGTTGCAAAGTTACACGTTTTATTCAAGAATGGAAAGCAAAAACAACAGCAGAAGAACTTTGAGTTGGTTGGTTTATTTCCTTTAAATTCCGTTATAATTTCTTATCTTTTGAC